CAGTATTTATAGTTGAAATTAACCTTTGACTTTGTATATAACTAGAATTGGAAATTCATTTAATACAAGAAATTTGGATAAAAATTTGTTTCAAATAATAGAATTACGATTATATCATATTAATGTTTCCTAATTAAAATAATTAATCAATCCTAATCATCCAATTGAATTTATATCAAAATAGGACATGTGGAAGTTAATTCGAAATTGGTTCCGTTTTACTTATTATACTAGTATTATAATTTGAAATAATGGAGTCTTAATCAAATTAGGGTTATAATTAAACTTTATCAAAATCAAAATATGATTAATATTAACTTTTATCAGAATTAAAATAGGAGATTAACATATCAAAATCAACATGTATGCCAGCCATAAAATTTAAATCATAAACCAACTTAATTTTAAATTAATGTTTTTTTTTTTTAACTTCAACAACTTGCGCTTAAATTATCCTTATTGATTTTTTCTAAAGTCCATGATGCATCATTTAATACGAATTACTTAACGAGCCCAGTAATGATATACTAAAAGTCGCTTTGTCAAAATCTGATAATTTGGTTCAATTAAAAATAATTAATACTTATTTTATTTTAGTCCCTCAAATATTTTTTTTTCCAAACTTTTTAAAAGAGTGGCAAGTGTCTCCAATTTACAAGATATGTATATGTTTGCAAAAATTTGATACTTTTAAGTTGGTTTAGTCCATTTTAAAGGAAACTTGGTCAATTTCTTTAAAATTCAGTATAGTTATAACATATCGAAGTTAACCTTAATATGTCGAGTTCGAGGGTTTGAACAATGAGTAAGAAATTGAAAGACAATCCATATTCCATCAATGTTTCTAAAAATAATAGTAAAACAAGCGCGCAATAGATCGCGATTTAAACAAATCGGTGATGTTACGTGTGGTTATTCTTAAAGTTCACTATTTATTATTATTATTATTATTTTTTTAATCTAATTACATGTGGTTATTTATTCAATCAAAAATTTGAAAACACGCTTGGCGAGTGAATACAAACTATTGAAAACTCTTAGACTCATATCAATTTACAAGTTTTTGTTTTTGATAAAATTTGAATGTTTACGTTTTGGCAATATTTTATTACTTTCTATTAGATGACTTTACAATGTTTATTACCTTGATTTTTGCATTAATGATTAAACAATGATTAGTACCAAGTATAGTATAATTAACTTGAACATTGCATAGCATAATTTAATTACTTTGAACATTGATTACATTAATGTAGGGGGTATATTAGGCAAAATAGTAGTAAAATTTGTTATTTTAACTATATTAATTAAATTTTTTAAATCTATGTAAAAAAAAGAAATATGATTATCAAAAAAAGGTTGAATCCCAATCTTGAGGGCCCACCGCCCCGTCCCTAGAGTTTTGTGAGGAAGGTAAATCGTGGGACATATCCCAGCAGGCCAGGGAACAAGAATTATGTGTACACTGCGCCTACAAGGAGTCCAATTCCAAATTTCAGGAATCGAAGCCCCACACTGTGACTGCCAGCAAGACGTGAAATAACCTCACTCCTGTCCTTTGCACCACTAGGCAATGCTTCGGGAGGTAGAAATATGATTATCTTTACGAGCAGAGATAGTCGAAGTTTACTATAGATGCACATTAGGTTGCAAATTCATTAAGCCCTCGTTTGGGCTCTATTTTAATAAAAAATTGGTAAAAAATGAGTTCTGAAATAATGACTTTTTTGAGAATGTGTGATTAAAAAATAAATTTTTTTTTTCGATTTGTATGTAATATTATTTTGCCCTTGTTTGAGTCTCATTTTAGGGGCAAAAATGTATTTTTAAATAGTGTATTGATGGAAAATATATTGTTAAAAAATAAGGAAAAATTTGAATTTACATCTAATATTATTTTATTAAAAAATGTGTAGTTGAAATGATGTCAACTATTTAAGAATATTTTTTTTTTCAAAGAATGAGGTTCAAACAAAAATTTTATGAAAGAATATGTGCTTGAAAATAAATTTTGAAAAAAAAAATGAGTCCTCAAGAGGGACAAACATAGACTAAAATGATTTGAGATAGGACGTGTGAGAGTTGTTATAAAAATCTTTTTTTTTTTTTTTTTTTTTTTTTTTTTTTTTTTAAAAAATTTTTTTTGGTTGGGATGGAAGGACTTAACCGGAAATTACTACAAACCTAAGGGCATTAAGGTAAACATATTACACGCTTTCAAGGTCGGTTCGTCTCACCGCCACACATTGCGTGCTATATATACCATGCTTAACCTTTAAGTCATTCGATAATCAAAAACTTCTTGTTTCAATTTTCAGCCGCCGGAGCCATATTTCTCTTAGGGTTTTAGAAATTTGCCGTATATCACCAATCCAAGCAATTAATCCACTGTTTTTCTCAGAATTCTTTTGCTAACCCCTATAAATTCAACAATTATTGGGTTGGTTATTTTTATTCTAATTTTTTTTTGTTCTTGGAAAAGTCTTCGATTCGATCTTGAAGAATGTCTCGGTGCTTTCCATATCCGCCTCCAGGGTATTCACTGGAAAAGGTCGGCAACGAGGCTTTGGTCGAATCGATTAAGGTTTGTTTAACAAACAAACCACCTTGATTGATTTGTACATGTTTATTATATGAGCATGAGTCCCCATCCATTTTAATCGAATGGTTTCGAGTTTTATGTATGGCTCCGAGGTGTAAAAATATAAAATCTGTATCTTATCGCGTTTGTGCCGTTGTACATAACCTGTTCAGTTTAGCAAACGAACCACCTTGATTTATTTTGGTACTGGAGTTTGTCTGAAAAGTTAGATTTTAACATAGGCGTTTGTTTGACATGTAGATTCAACCTGTCTTTATGTTCTTTGACACGGTCCTCTGAGCTCTCTTTGAGAGGTGCGGGTGTGTTTGGATTGGTTTTCAATTTTTTCAGATTAGACTTTGAGTTAAAAAAACAGCTATGACGGATTTAGAACTTCCTTTGTTAATTCTAAAATCTTTCGATGATAGTGTATATTACTAGGGGTTGATGATGATCTTGTTAAGATGAGCATATTTGTATACACAACCCATGATTGTATGCGGGACTGAGCTTTTGTTCAAAATAGAAATATTTGGTAATTATGTTCTCTTTCAGTGTTGCTCTAATCATTTTAATCCTTGATCTTAAATAAGGAATTGATTACGATGCAATTCTACATTTTAAAAATTTCCAAGATGCAAATTGAGTTGTGTCAGTACCTTTCTATTACTAAGAGATTCTGTGAGAAGTTGAAATAAGTTCATTCTAGATTCTCAAAGAAAATGAACACCATAGTTTCAATGCCCTTTTAAAGTTTATTTCCCCCACAAAATTTTTCCTTTTAGCTTTATTGTTTAATTAGTGGTATAATCTGGTATCATCAAATCTTTTTCCTGTTTGATATTGGTGAATATGTTCCTATATGAGTCGACTATGATCCAAGAATCTCAAATAATTCTTTTAGTAAACATATACTCCCCAGTTTCTTAAATAGTACAAATTGTATGTTGGTTTGTGTTGAAAGATCAAAAATATTTTGATCATCTGGGTGCTTGATCTAACGAACACAAACTCAATCATTATGAGGTCTGAGTCCATATACTGGCCCTATTACCTTTGGGCTTTCTTAGCCCTGGATGCTAAAATTGTTATTCTGGTCCTGTAAAGCTCCAAATGGAGACCGAAAGGGTAGCCAAGGAGCAAAGGAAGAAGGAAAAGAGAGAGGAGAAGAAAGAGAAAAGGAAATATAAGAAGGATGAGACAAAAGCCTGTACAGAAAAACATAGGGCAGCACCAAAGAGTGGGTGTTTCCCAAAGGTTAGAGAAGCTGAAACAGAACATTTAGAAAAAAGTAGCGTCACTGAAGAGCACGAGCAGCCTATTTATTTGTGCCTTCCAAGCTCTCCATCAGATAGCACTGGGAATAGCAATAAGAGGAAGAGACATTCCTCACCTTTAGTTGGCAGTCATAATCGTGGTTAGTATGGTTTTTTCTCTCTGATAAATTTCTGTCATTTCTTAGAAGGGTGTGTTTGCTTTCAGAGTGGTTGCTTATTTTGGTCTCTGTTGGCAGGAAATATTATTAGGATTCGATTGCTGCCCCCGAAGAAGCCGAAGGAACATGATACTGCTGGAAGAATAGATTTTCCCGCAGAACATGCTAATGAAATTGCTAACAGATTCAGTCAAGAAAGAAATTTCTCCGCTAAGGAAAACAGCTCCATTGTGGGAGCCTTTCCCATTGGAACTGTTAAGGAGCATGTTTGTTCAACTTCTGGGAGGGATGAGGCTGCTGCTGCTTCTGCTTATGGTAAAGCTAGAACTGCATCAGGTCACCATACAGTTATGACTAATATGCAGAAAGTGGAATTAGAGTATAGAAGTTTATTCGAGAACTGGGATCCACCTCAGCTGCAGGCACAACACATTGGTCAAGACGATGAAGAATGGCTCTTTCGGGGCAGAAATCAGGATGTGCGTGTGGAGAGAAAACTCAAACCGTTCAGTGATCCTATATCATGTTCTAGTGCCTCAGTTTCTGGGCCTCGTGCACAATATTTGCATGAAGCTGATGTATATGCACTGCCTTTCACAGTCCCATTTTGAATTTTGTGCCAGTTTAGACAGCTATGTAATGAGCTGCTGCCTGAGGATTTTTGTAGGTCTTTCTCCGAAGGCTATGAGGTGACTTGCTGCGAGGATCTAGTTTGTATGTATGAGCTGAAAATGTCTCTTACATAGGTTTTGCCTTGAAAAATCTTTGGAAGAGGATATGATCAGTTCGTTTTTGCATCAATTATTGATCAATATTATCAAATTGTCAGTTTTGTAGCTAATATAGCTCTTGATTGGTTCTCATTATTTCTTCATTAAAATGAAAAATATGATCGTTATCCATCAAATCAAGTCACCAAATTTGAATTTTTATCTCTTGCGTGGTTCCGTAACGGCTATATTTTTCATTCTCATTCTTCCAAAAATGAGAAATAAATGGGGGCATAATATTGCAAGTTTGTACATTGTTGTTGATATTGTGTGATTGGGAAAATATTTGATTGTTTATTAAAATAAATGGTTAGATTCAGATGAGTGAAGAGTGATTGTTATATATATACACACACATGATTTGTTTCGAATCACTCTAATGGACTTGACATGTGTCATGTGACGATAGTAGATATTATCCAAGTGTTGGAGTCACCATCAAGGCAATTTTGACATGTTTTGATTGTGATAAATTTTAAAAGAATTTTAATAGAGTTCTCTCTTAAATATTAACAAGCTTTTGTTTGGCTCCTTTTAAAATTTTTCAATTTAATTTAATTTTCTTTTACTTTTAACCACATAATTTTCAATAAGATATTATTATATTCAAATTGAAAACTTTTCAACTACATAATCTTCAAAAAAAAATACTATTATTCTCATTATAAATTCAAATAATGGGGCCAAACGGGGGCTAAAGTCACTTGGTCAACAATCAATTTCCTCAAATCAATGCATATAATATTGGAATGAAGTCCACACTTATTTACAAACCAAAAGACTTCAATGCACCACATATACAAAATATGCAGTGGGTCCACATATACAAAATATGCAGTGAATCCATGACTTGGATACATTTTCTAACAAAAGATGCATCATACTCCAAAAAATATAAACTATATATACTGACAAGATAAAGAGTCATATAATTAATGATAATGTGTAGCTCAAGTTAGTAGATCAACGGACTTCAATGTTGCTTAACTGCTATTTGATAATAAAAAGAGTGAAGACTAATATATAATAAAAATATCATTTCACCGTACCATAAACTAAAATCTTTGTTCTTTAACCAGAATAAGCTAAATTTTGTAATCTAAAATTTAATACGCTGTATAATACTGAAAAATTATACTGTAAAGTTGCCCGAACTAACCTTACACATGTATCGATTAATACCGATATAAATGGTAACTCTACTAAATTCTGTAATGCACGTAGAGCTGTCCAAAGGCTATAATCTAAACATAACCATGGAAACACATTCACAATAGTGCAGAGCCGGTAAAATCATCACAATTGATCATAAACTGTGGAGACACATTCACATCAGTACAAAGCGGGTAAAATGATCGTATGGGAGGGGGGGGGGGAATCAAAAGAGACTTGATTGGTTGATTGGGTCCAAGTCGACAATATTGGCAGGTCCATAGGTCAGTTCGGTTGGAACCTCAAATTTGAAATATAATTAAATTTGGATTGTACAATAATTTAGATTGAATAGTCCAAAGAGGCACATTCATTACACACCTACTGCCACGTCCAGGTAGGAATTGCATAGTCTAGTGGTGCAAAGGACATGACTGAGGTTATCTCACGCCTTGCTGGCAGTTACAGTGTGTGGGTTCGATTCCTGAGACATGGAATTGGACTCCTTGTAGGCTCAATGAACAAGCAGTTCTCGTTCCCTGGCCTGTTGGGGCACATCCCGCGATTTACCTCTCTCACAAAACTCTAGGGGCGGGGCGGTGGGGGCCTTCAAGGTTGGGGTTCAACCTTTTTTTAGGAATGGCAATGGTGCAAAATTAGGGAGCCCTCCATTTTCAAGATTTTTGTTAGGTGGGTCGAGGTCGAGAGTTTAGATAAATGGGTGAAAATTAAAATCTCTCTATTTTTCGTATCCTTTTACTTAATTTTTAAATACTTTTAAGTACGAAGAAAATTTAAAAACATCAAATAAATTAAAATAAAATAATGAATAAGAACGATATATGAGACTGTGTTCCCCTTCCTAAATTGTTGATCGGATAAGAAATTAGCCCTTGTTTGAGCCCCCATTTCTAACAAAATACATTTTTCTCTTTCTTATCATCAACTATACAACATTCAATAAAATAATACTATATATAAATCAAAAACCTTTTATTATTTTTCAATTACACATTTTCTAAAAATTATTATTTCAAAATATATTTTTAACTCAAAATTAAAGGCGACAATCAAGCCAAGCGGTTCGGCTCGTAAAAGGCAACTCAAGCTTATATTAGGACGAGCTCGAATTCGAGCTGACCGGGCCTGCTCGGCTCTCCACGGGCGATCAATTGGTGGGCAAGGGCCCACCATGAATTTGAGGCCAGCTCGTAAAAAATGTGAAAAAAAGGTCAAAAAAAAGAAAAAGAAATCTTGAGCTTGTGGGCTAGGCTTAGCTCATGAGCTCACGAGCTCGTGGGCTCAACTCGGCTCGTGCTTGAATGATCTTGAGATGAGCTGGCTCGACCCATTGTCACCATTACCCAAAATGAGTTCATCTTGCTTCCCAAACAAATTGTACTTAGAAGAGTCAATTGTTCCAATGGTCAGTGAACTTAGGTTCATGTCTTTGATTGGCCACTGAATTTTGGTCACTTAATTTATGTCCATGTTTTCGATTACTCGTTGAAATTTAAAATGTCGAGTTTTGGTCACTTAATTTAGGTCCATATTTTCGATTACTCACTGAAATTTAAAATGTCAAGTTTTGACCACTGAACTTTGAAAAATGTCTTCGATTGCTCACTGAACTTGGTTCCATGTCTTAGATTACTCACTGAAGTTTAAGATGTCGAGTTTTGACCACTGAACTTTGAAATATGCCGTATGTTATTCACTAACGTAACTGTTGAACTTAGAAAAATATCGAGCTTACAGTAAGTAATGTACAATATTTTCAAAGTTCAATAAGTAATGTACAATATTTTTCAAAATTCAATGAGTAATATACAATATTTTTCAAAATTCAGTGATCAAAACTCAACATTTTAAATTTCAGTGAGCAATCGAAAACATGAACCTAAATTTAGTAACTAAAACTCGATATTTTTCAAATTCAGTGGTCAAAATTCAATATTTTAAATTTCAGCGAGCAATCAATAACATGGATCTAAGTTTAATGATGAAAATTCGATATTTTAAATTTGAGCGATTAATTAAAGATGTGAATTTAAGTTGAGGGACGATTGAAACAATTATCTCTACTTAGAATCAAGGAACAAGTGATGTCCTTAGTATTCCAACGTCAGTCAGTTGAGTCGAGGCAGTCTAGGGAGAAACAAGAAAAATGATGATCTCAGACGGAATCGAAGACGAGGAGAAATGGCTCGCCGAAGGCATCGCGGGAATTCAACACAATGCATTTTATTTGCATCGCGCTTTGGTAATTTCCAATTTTACTTCTCGGAGCCCTAGATTCTCAAGTTAAATTAATTTGTTCGTATTTGAAAAAAAATTCAGGATTCAAATAATCTGAGAGAAGTACTTAAATACTCGGCGCAGTTGTTGTCTGAGCTTCGAACTTCGAAACTCTCGCCTCACAAATATTATGAGCTATGTAAGATTCCTGGGTCCAAATTCTTCTGGTGATCTATTTTATTATTTAAAGTTTATATGTTTATGCCGTGAATTGTTTGTTTTATTCACTTTTATGGAATAGATATGCGCGTGTTTGATGAGTTGAGGAGGCTGGAAATGTTCTTCAAAGATGAGGACAGGCATGGTTGTCCAGTGGTCGATCTATACGAACTTGTTCAACATGCGGGAAACATTTTGCCTCGACTGTAAGTCTCATAGATTTGGGCACTAATTTTATGTTGCTTCACCTTTTATATGCATAGTTAATGATTTAACAATATTTCATCTTATATTACACGGTTTAAGGATTTCTCTGATTTTTCTGGATTTGTGATTTGTGTTGCTCAAATTCTCTCTGCAATCTTAGATCTTAGCAATATCCCTGAAGTAGTTTGTTGTATTGGATTCATTTATTAGTATCTTTATATATGTGCGTTATATTGTACAAATTAGTGCTGCTTGCTCTTTTAAGCCGGTTCTACACACCTGCCATCCTCATCTACCATAGTGAGAAGGCTTTGGATTCCAACCATCTAACTGTGTTCCATTTATTGATTAATTTAAGCAGTTTTGAGTTTCTTTTTCTTTAAATCACTTTCTATTGATGGAGAATATAGATTGAACATTTAAATATCTAGTGATCAATGGAAAATAACTCGATATCTTTTTTTTTTTTGGGAAAGTAATGCATGGTTTTGAAGCTTGGAATCGGATAGACAAATTTCACATTCCTTCAATTTGATTTGATAATGGTCTAATCTTAATTAAAAACTCTATATCAATGTATAGTTTAAAAAGACATAATTTGGTATTGAAACATTTTTCCTTGGTGATGTGAAACAAAAAACTGTTAAAAATTAAAAAAAACGTAAATCATAAACAATCTTCAAAATTCATAATAGATCAAATTAAAGTTTGCAAACAAACAAAAATAATTCTAAGAAACAAAAAGAAACTATTAGTTTAGTGGTGGGAAATGTACTATTCCCAAAGTGTGTCTAGTATAGTTTTAGTAGTATCTGATTGCGTAATAACTTATTGTCAAGGTTGGCTAGTCAGAATTTTTATTTATTTATTTATTTTTTTAGTAGCTTGGCTAATCCAAAAGTCGCTCAATTAGAAATTTTAATGTTTTGTGGGCCATGCCTAAAGAAAAGTAAACAAGTGTGGACAGTTAAAGAGTGCACTCATGAGCCTTGAGGCACGTGCTTCACTCAACTGAGGCTTGCACCTCCAAAAAATACCTCACAACCATTGCCTTGAGGTGATTTTTGTTCGCCTTGCTCTAGCGTGGGCTTTAATTGGGATTTTTAAACAATGCTCTAGATATTTTTCATGAATCCGTTGGATTTTAGAGTTGCTAAATCTTGTTTCAAGTATAGTACAAAATGCCCTGTAAATTTAATGACCAGTTTTACGCTATTCCATTTGAAATGTAAATGTCTAATTTGCTTATTTTTTCATCCACCTACCATTTTGCCTGCATAATTTTAGAATAGAGGTTCCCTAGGCACATAAT